AAGCAAAGTGAAATTGAGTGTCGATTTCGTGATCTGATCGGCATCATCCATCCATCCTTATTTTCATCTCCATTTTAGCCTTCACTCTCATTACCTTTTCCTCCTCCCTCTATCTCCCTGTATTTTCAGTTCTTTATCCATCTTGTTCGACCTGTTATAATAATAAATACAATTGTTTGCACAGTACGATTATCAAAAGCTAAGTGAAGGGAAAAGATTAATCAGCAGACATATACCGTATTATCAAGAAAATAGGAAAGACTTTAAGATTACGACAATTTTGAAAGTTCTAATGATTAGTCTAAAATTGAATTCTTACATTCTTTCCTTCTCCTCTCCCTCTCTCCTTCTCTCTTTTCCTAACATTCATTTTCATCCGTTTTCTCCTATTTTTTTTTTTGATACTAAAAAAAAGGAATTAATTTCAACAAATTTTTTACCATCCTATATTTTTACATTTAAAAAAACTATTAGTAAGAAGAGATGTTTACATGTAATGCAAACAGTTTCTTTTTTTTTTTTTTTTGCTTAAATGTAAAAATTCTTTTGCATATTATATAGCGAAAGCAATTTTTCAAAATAGACAAACTAAAAAGGAAAAAAGTGAAATATTTTTTTTTATAATTTTAAATAACAAAAGTTTTTTCCCATTTTTTTTCAATATTCATTTCTTTATGAATGAATGAATGAATAAATGATAATATAACGGATTCGTTTACTCATTCATTCACATACCAATGAATAATTTTCGACGATTAAAAATCTTTTACGCCGATGTGAAATGTAATTTTCTGACAGATATTGAAATGCACCGCATAGGTTTTTTTTTTTTTTTTGTTCTTTCCGTTCCTTTTTTTTACAGATTACAGATTAAAATGCTTTTATAAGATTTCAAAGTCTGCTTGGTTAATTTTTTTAAAATAGAAAGAAATATGAAAGATATTAAATTTCTCTCCTTTCATTCTTTTTCCTCTCTTTTCATCACTCTCAATCTAATTTTTATCAGTCTCGACTGAGAACGATAACTGGCTATTTCAAGAGGCATTTCGAACATGTGAAAAAAGAAAAGAAAGGTGAGCTGTTGATGGCAATTTTAAATTATTGAAATTCCGCAGATAATTGGGCATAAAATTTCATTATATGCAAAGACGCGTGCGTGCAGGAAAATATTGAACATGCGATGGAAAATCTGAATCAACATTTATGATTGTATGATCAAAAAAAAAACGTTCTAAAAAATCAACATAAGTAAAAAAAAAAAACTCAAATAGATATGAGCTTTCCACCTACAGCAATAATATTAATTGGTATTAATTATGGTGAAGTATCATTCGCAAACACTGTAAATATTTTTAAAAGCTATAATTTTTCTCACTTTAAGAGTATGTGAGAAAGAAGGGAAAAATGAATTTATAAAGGATATTTTTAAGTGCAAAAAAGAAAAAGAAGGAACATTTCAAATAAGAAAGAAAGATTAAATTACAAATGTTTAAAAGCTAATAGCTAACCATCATGAACTTCCTCTTTCAATTTCAGAAAAGCAAAAAGAAAGGAGAAATGATTGTTTTTGCTTGAATGTCATTCCGATTCATCATATCATTTCACACATAAATAATATTGCTCTTTGAAAGCTTGAAACTTTGAAATCTTTCAGAATTCGTGCAATAATTTCATGAATTTTTTGCCATCTTAATGAAACGCTTCAACGTTTTGATAAATTTTAAATCATCAAAATTATAGCTATGCAAAAAAATGAAAGAAATTCTTTTAATAGTGAAGCTAAAACATCTTCATTTGCCAAAATTTTAGGATATAATGACCATAAGAAATTTGAACAAGTTTCATTTCTCATTTCTGATTGCAATTATTGAAAGAAAATGAAACATATTAAACAAAGTACAAGTTCAGGCCTAGAACAAACATAGTGGCTAATTTGTGCTTTTTACACTTCACTTAGTGTCTAATCTTTTCTCCTCGTGTTTTTTCTTTGAAACTTTCCATTTATTTGATGGGAATGATGAAAAATGTATGAAAAAGAGAGTATGATCACCGAACCGTATATACGTACCATTACACTGCATAGTTGTATCCTTGAGATAATCTCATTAAGGTCAAAGGTCATTTGTTGAGTCATTTGCTGAAGAATCGGAAAATTATGAATGGGAGGGGATGTGTTAATGGACCATAGTAATGCTAGGTGGAATAATGTGAGGCATAATGGATATAGAATCAAGAGCGGTAATTACAGAAGACCATAACTCTTAACAATAAAAAAACCTCACATCGGAAAACAATAAAAAAAAAGCCACAAAACAAAAAGATCCCGAAAAAATCGATCAGCAGAGAGGAAGAGGTCACCGTGACCTCGACCACTCGACCGACCACTACTAGCAACTCCTAACCATTACGCAATTATAACATTGTGTCATCATCCGAGCATGAGGAGAATTGATGTCGGGAATCAATCACTACCATCAACCATAAAAGTCCGCATAGTAAGTATTGATCCTTATGAATATTGAAATTTTTTTTTCAAAAATTTAGGACAAAAAAATTTTATGCGAAATTTGCTTTTTTTCATTAAAAATTTATAACAATAAAAAATTTGTCAATAATTATTATCACATTAAATTGTTATACGAGTTCTATTCAAGAAATGAATTGCTGGGTGAATTATCTTTGAGAATAGTTATTAATATTGTTAACATGTATGATAGGATAAAGTTAAGTTACGATAATTGATAGTTTCTTCAAGAATAATTCACAATTGATTTGTATAATTATCATAAATAATTCGAGTCATTAAGAATAATCTTCAAAACTGATTTGAATTGATCAAAATGATTGAATGATATCGGCGGAAAGATTTATGATTAGCATTTCTCTCGTTTTCTTTTTTTTCTTTCTTTCTCTCTCTCTCTCTTTCTATTATTTTTTCATTTATTGTTTCTTTTGATATTACTTACACAAACGATTGGATGGGTTTGGTATGGTTAAAATTATTCAAGTAAGATTTGAAGATAGAAATGATTAGATAAAGAAAGAGGAATAAAAAAGATAATATTCAAGAATGATTTCGAGAATGGTAATGCTTTGATCATTTTCGTCACAGTATCTACAAAAATCGAATAAAACTTAAAAATGTTTTTTTCTAGTATATCCGTCTTAATCGGTTTATGTAATCCGGCTTTTTGATCTCATTTTTCATGCTTCTTTTTCAGTATATGATATTTGATATTTTGTTAAATTAATGATAGATTTTATTCTGATAATATGATCATTTATTTAATAATTTGATCCAATCCAACAAATTTCTATAAGGTATAAACTAAAGAAGAGTTTATGGGAAACATTGGGAAGAGGATTTATTCCGAAATTACTTTTGATATTTTTTGCACATATATGGTTTGAAAAAGGACTAAGTGCTAATGAAAATCAAAACTTTAGCTAAGGATCGAAGTTGTAAAGCATAAAAATCGAATGAAATGATAGGTGAAAAGAGGAGACCGACGGATAGTAGACAAGAGATAAGAACAAAGAAAGAGAAAAAAAAGGAGAGGAAATCGCAGATCATATGAGATCATCAAGAGAATCATTCGGGATTATTGAGGTTAACTTTATTCTTTCCATAAAAGAATTGTCAACATTTTTCATTGATATATTATCATCAATTAATGATATGGAAAATTTCCAACACATGCCTTATCTTTAAAATTTAATTAAATAAATTGCACTTTATACTTTTTAAGGCATTTCACTCATTTATTATCTATCCTTAGGACAATTTTTACGTAACTTGAAATAATTTAATCCATCTTTTCTCAATCATTTTTTGCCAGTTCTCTATAGCAATGCGATGGAAAAATTTTCATAGCAAACAATGCAAGGGCCGCGTTTCATGTAGTCCTGATTATACATGGTTTGTTGCGGGATTGTTTGAATTTTAAGATTAGAGCTGGTGGGGGGTTTGGGTGGGAACGTTAGGTATTCTGGTACAGTTTGGGAATGTGGGAAACTGTAGCAGTTCCATATTATATGGGAGATTTGGTTCTGTTAAGATCAAGGATTGATCTATACTTCCTTCTTTTCCTTTGTGAATGCTTGAAATACATCTTCCTTCCTACATCATTTATCATCATTTGTCAAATCAGTTAGATACTAAAAAGTTTGCAGGGAATTTGATAAAGCGGAAAGTTAATATTCTTTTATATTGTAACTAAAGATAACGAAATATTGTTAACGGAATATTGTAAATGCTGATAGCATATTTACGTTATTATTATAATTGAAAGCGTAACAACATTGTATTATATGAAAATGCATTTATGTTAGGTTGAGAGAATGTGTGCACATCAGGAAGTTAAATGAAAGTTATATTTTTATCTGTTCATACATTGTTCGAGAATGTTCTTCCATCATGAAACTTCCCATAGAGATTCGTAATCTTTCTGATAAATCCCGAATTAATTTATTATCCATTAACTACTCAGTAAAGTAGTTATCTATTCGATAAAATCGGGGTTGATTGTCTCAATCTGATCATAAAAAAGCATAAGCGATGGGAATAAAGATGGTTTGAGCTTCATATTATTGAAAATACCATATATTAACAAATTTGTGATGTGTTTCAACTTATCTTTTTTTTCAAAGTTCAGGTTGATGATCTAACAATGAAAAAAATGGAAAGGGAGGGTGTCAGCCGGAGAAGTGTAGCATATAAAGGCCATTTTCATTGGCCATCTATAAGTAGCGTGTTAACAACACCGGAACGAAAGCGTTCAAGACGTTCTACGAGTTTCGCTGACTCCGGTTTAGGCTCATCAATATTTGGTTCACCTCCCTCGAAATCAGTAAGTTTTGAAAATTTCGTTACCTTGAAACGAATTTGAATTTTAAGAACTATTATTTCAAGCCATTTTTCAATTACAAGAGTCTTGCTTAGTATCGGTTCATTTCAGTTCAATATATTAGACACTGCTCCTACATTAAAGACACCAACAAGGAAAAAGTCACCGAATATGAACTCACCCTCCTTACAATCACCATTAAAGCAAGTTTTAATGCTTTTGCTTGTCTTATGTACATGAATGAAATAGCAATTAAGAAGTTGTGTAAAAATACATCAGTATTCGAGAAAGTCAAGTGCAACATGCAAATAAAGAGTTTTTTACGTCCTAATGATGCATACAGCATCGCTAGTTTTTGTCTCACCTGGGGACACCAATACCATATGTATATGCTTTTCGCATGCTCAGTTAGGTCTTTTGGTTTATTCTAATTGATTACAATTAAGCTTCACATATATTCATAGTTTTATGTGTGAAATTGTAGGTCTTTTCTCCATGTATCTGCATTTAGCGATGCATTCTGTCCACCAGAGAGTTGTTCGCCTCCGTCGAAGTTTCGCCTATCGGATCCTGGCAAAGCTGTTGGTAAAAATTTTTAATTTTGATAAAGACATAAGATCCATTGACAGCCAAGTCTACGTAAGTAAGTCGATTAAAAGAAGTTAAAAAAACAAGCAGTACAAGTCTTCTTGAGTGAAGTGACGTTCAGCTATACCCAGCTTATAGTTGTCGACGGTTGAAGCATTACGCTGAAAATCTAGGCACTTAAGTCAGATATGTTTATTGGGCTAAGCAGAACTAATGGAAACAAAATATATGTGGACCACGAATTTTGTTTACATTTAATAAACTATTGTCAGTAATTGCTCCCCAACTTTTTGTTTTGTAATGCATAAATCAAATTTGATTTTTTTTTTTGCAGAATACAGATTTAGTGGGACAAGTGTACCGGAAAATGAAACTCCTATAAATATGGCGGACGATGCATTAAGTGGAGCGATACCGTCTACCTCTTTCAAAGATTCCTCTTTTCTGTCAGCTTGTCGTTCGCCTGAATATTCCTTAACAATGAATAGGTTAGTAATAGTTTGATATGATAGCAAAGATAAGCCACATAACTAGACGGTTTTTTCTTTTGTAAATCGGTTTTGAATGCCAATTTCCAGATTAAGTTGTCGGGTGTATGTCGTAAGTATGTGTGGCATGATGCACGGAATATTCCTTACAAGTTGAATAAACTGCATTTTCATATTCATAGTTTTTCTTGAACTTTTTTTTGAGGGAATTCTAATCGGAAATGATGACCCTGTTTTCTAGAAGTTCAAAGCTTTGCCTGTATTTCAGGTCAGCATTTGATGATGAAAATGATGATTACACGACGGACTCCTCTGCTCTATATGGGATGGCGGAAACACCAAGTAAAGGGTTTAAAAACGAAATGGTTTGTGATATCCTTATGTGCTAACTCTGAGAAACAAGTATGGCCTATCACCTTCTGGATAACATTCCCTTCGGATCGGGGACATTCTTAAAACTGAGCTTTTAAAATATGGATTAAAGTGATCAATAAAGCATTCCCTTATTCTCAATCTTTACTGTTTGCAAATAGTTTTATGCTGCAAAATACTTCGTTTATTTTATCTAATTTAAATCATAGAATGCATCGAAATATTTACAAATGAAGTATGAAGTTGAGAAAAACACATTTTTTTTCACTTCCAGAATATGGCTGGGAACTACATTGACGATAACTTTTCATTGCTTACATCAACCCCATTGCATCTCAGTTCAAATGATGACATTTCAAGGAGTCATGCTTTCGCATCTTCAAATTATACAATTCCTGAACCTGAACAGTATACCATTTCCGAACAGTATACCATCCCTGAACAGTATACCATTCCTGAACAATATACCATTCCCGAACAGTATCCTCTTCCTGAACATATTACCGCTCCTGAACATTATACCATGCGTGAGCAGTATACTATTCCTGAGCAGCATACTATTCCTGAACATTTTACCAGTTCAAATGATGACATCTCAAAGAGTCATGGTTTCGTATCTTCACATTATACCATTCCTGAATATTACACCAGTTCAAATGATGACATATCAAAGAATCACGCTTTCGTATCTTCACATTATACCATTCCTGAACAAGCTAATGGGCCACTGGAAAGCAGGTGCGTTGGATCTGTTATTCATACAGTGTTGCTAATTTATATGTAGTTCAAGGTCACGATGTGCGATCAGTGGAGCACATGTAGTTCCTTTCAGTTAGTCTGCAGTGTTATTCAAGTGATAATTATTCACTGAGACACTTCACTCCCACTTGGTGATGCATTTAAAATCCATAAAAGAGAATATCCAGACGTAGCACTGAACATCGGTTATATGGGAATGATTACAGTAAGAAAAAAATCAGATTTTTGGTAGAGAAAAACATTTTCACGTCGAGGTTGGCTGTTCCTTTGGAGAGAAAGGAGTTCGTGCACCTCCTCGGTGACTGTTATAATCGGGCAGTTCTCATTTACTTTAGTTTTGCAACTTTGAACATTTATATCTATTCTTTGGCTATGGATATGATATTTTGATTGCAGTTTGTGTGAGCCAGTCGATCAGTTTAGACTACACAATGCTAGTCTCTCATCTCCTGTGACAAGCACTGACACTGGGGCTACATTTTTACCAGTAACGAAGACAAGTCGAGTAGAGAGGACAAACCGATCACTACGAAGGGTCTGCATTTTATATATGTGATATATACATAAGCTATAAATGAGATTACCGCCTAGAAAGTTTCACTTTCAGAGTGAACGATTCTATCCCGGATTAGTAAGTAATTCAGCAGCTGCAAATTCAAGTCGGATGTGTCTCCGTGAGACCAACGACAATAACAGGCCGTTCAAACCACCAACAAGACCGCTAAAAGTGGTAAACTTCGATTTTTATTTATCTCTCATGTCCGTTTAGCAACCTATGAGAAGAGTGTAAACTTCAGATATCATCATCTTAAGTTCACTGCAGTGTCTTAGATATAATTTTCTTTGCTGGAGTGAAATTCTCACAGATGTTTTTGTTCTGAAATTATCAGTTGCCTTTTATTGTGCTCTGAAAATCGAATACTTCCAGAACTCAAAAAAATGGCTTCAAATAACATGCGGGGAGACACCTCACCAGGTAAATTTAAATTATCTCTTATCTTATTCAGTACAAATCTTGCAGTTTTACTTCAACTTCGCACTGTATGCTAAAAAATTGTTTTGCATTTTTGACGATTCACTGAATACTTAGTTCAATAGAATTTTATTTTCAGATAGAAATGACTCGAATGGCGAAAATGTTCCTGCGTAGTCACGGAATTTCCTACCCATAATGATTGATATAACGTAACTGCCAATCGCTAGTCATCAATGTGATATCAGTAAGCAGTCTTTATTCCAGTTTACTAAATTTTTGTGAAATCCGTTTTAAATGTCTCACATGTATAAAATAAAAATCGTGTGGTGATTTCCTATGTAACTTAGTTTTATGTATTTTGTTTCATAGTAGAAAAAGGATCTCAATGGTTATCGGTACCTTAAGCTTAAGCACCTATCATTTTAATTTGATTCAGTTTTGTTTGTTACTTCTTGGTCTTGAGATCGATTTTGGTTGCGTTCGACAAGACAGTTTGACCGATTTTGATAGTACTGAAACATGAGAAAACTTAGGGCTGAACTCTTACTTTTGCTATTGTGCTTAATTTTGACGGTCAGGAAGTATTTAATTTACAATTTGTCTCATGCAGCATTATCATTTTTGGCATTTTGTAGTGATTTTCTGAGTCCGGTAAAACAGACTGGTTAGATTTTCAGCCGATTTATCATTATTCAAATTTCATTGGAGTGGAATCGAAATTTTAGGAGTCAGTCGATTTGGTAGGAATTTAGTCCTCGTTTCCTAATTGGTGTAGTCATTTTGTTTGACGCTTGCAGATTTTGGTTTTTTTGATACTGAAACGAATCGTTTGAGAATGTGTTGTTTTACTGAACTCAGAAAATGTGACTAAACGTTGAACTACGTGTGTTACTAAAGTTGTTATTCAGTAAATCTAAAAAATAATGCCATCCTGACTGCCAAAAATTCTTCAAATAACTGCTGTTGCAAGAAAATCCGGTATTTCACCATTTTGATTTTCTGTGAGATATGCAAATTAATTTAGCTACGATCGCCTTTGACTTGGACTTATTTTCGGAACTCTGAGTTGTTAAGCCATTGTGAATATTGTTGGCTGATGGTAAGATTTTTAGAAGTGACCACTCTTGTTTATTGTTTCTTTCAATTTTTCTTCATTTCAGAAGTTTTTCCCTCCTTTCTTTCAAGTGTTCTCTTCAGTTCTCGTTCTTTCTTCCAGAAATTTTTAGATTCCCGTAGTCTGTCTCTCACTCTCCTTACCAATTCTGCACTTTTTTCCCAATCATTGCATTAATTCCAACAACAGGATTTTTTTCGTTTTAATCTGCATAATACATTTGTATGGACTACAAAATGTGCACATTCCTACATTATTTTTTCTATGGTTTCCATGGCCATTAAAATGTCCTGTATCATAAATTTCAGTATTGTTCCTATTTTCCGTGTAGTCCTCCATTTCTCATGTAATTTTCAACGTTTTGTCAGTGTGTCGTACTCCGTTCTCTTTCACTGTAAAGTTTATGTTCCTTTTCCTCATTGTCGAAAACCGTCTTTTAACAAGTATTTTACTTAATAGTGATATGGTCTAATCATAATTATCTCAAAGTATACATTTTAATTTTCAAATGTGTGATTCTTGAATGAGCCAAATTATTCATCATATTCTTTCAATACTCTCGACGATATAACATTTTGAAAGTAACATAGTGCAGAAGGACTAGAAATTTTGAGAACTGTCAATGTTTTGCATTGGTATTTTTTTAGAAAAGTTATAGAACTGTTCGTGTTAGTATTTTTTTTGCCTTGTTTTTTCCCTTCAGCCTTGTTTTTTCTTCAGCTTTGTTTCTCTTCTTCAGCTTTGTTTCTTTTCTTAAGCTTTGTTTCTTTTCTTCAGCTTTGTTTTTTTTTTTTCTTCAGCATTTCCGAACTGTTACCATACTTCTCAAATCGTTCATTCTTTTCACAATCATCTTTTAGATGAAACTTTTTGGCAAGAAATATGTTCTTTCTCAGCATCTGTATGCAAGATCTTTCCATCACTCCTTATATGTATAGTCTTCAAATTATCTCATGTAATAATCATTCCTTCATTCTTTTTGTGCTGTCTCCTAAACAGTTCGTCATTCTCCTGCATTTTCAAAATTTTGGACTTTTAAGTTTTACTTTTTTTATGTTTAAAAGATTTATATGTTTGCAAAGGCAATGTTAAGTGAAATAAAAATTTTGGAAAAAAGTTTGCTATGAATTTCAAATTGTTACATCGTCGAGGAAGATTCATGGCCTCGGTAGCATTTCTTTTTTTCATCAATTGCAGACGGAATCGGTAACTCGATATTCATTGATGTTTAAAACTCAAATTCGGTTGGACGGAGATTCTTTTAGTCTTTATCTTTTTAGTTCTGGAGGTATTTTAATTTCTCACTATCTTTTATATCAGCACTTTTTAGTAAAATTTTCAAGTGATCCCCTGTTTCATTTCCTTCATTCCAGATTTAGTGTTGCCTAACCAATATGAAATTAGCGTCACGTAGTCAAGAGAAGAAAGAATTTCGTTTATTACATTTCGTGCAACATTAGACATATAAACTGGATGGTTTGATCATATCCAATGCTCAAAAAATTACGTGCTTCACTTTTTTGTACCACTGTCATCGAGTTACTATGACTAATTTTTGCGTAAATTCGATGGAACTTTTATATTGAAAAAAGGAATCAGTGTTCTTGCTCTCAATCCTTCTAATATGATATGATGTATATTACCATTTTGGATCAGTTAAGCATTCGAATGTAATGAGTAACTACCATATAAATATGAAGTAAACAATAAATCAAAAATCTGCTGAATTGAATTGATTGTGCAGTTTTAATCAATTTCACAATTTGTTCAGGTCATCATATACCAATACATCATCATAAGTCGTTCAAAAGTGAAAAAAGTATTCTACAACTTTTTTCCGCACTCGTAGTTTTGTTGGTAAAATTACATGATGGAATTATTTTAAAATTAAGCGAGCAAAGTAATGGTTCATTTTCAGAGTAAATTTCGCTTTTCGAATCAACAGAAAAAGTGTAAATGTAAACAGAACTATAATTGTAACAAAAAAAAGATGTTTGTCATCAAACTCCCAAAGTTGTATGTTTCATAATTTTGTTGGAAATCATTTTCATTAATACATAAAATTTAATTTTTGTGCTGAGATTTCAATAGTTTAAGATGAGTTAAGGAATCTAAAACACAGCAAAAGAACTTAGAAAGGGCTGGTTTTGTGTAAATCATTGAGAGTGGACGATAAGTTATTTTGCTACACTTCATAAGACAACTTTAGTAGAAGAATGCGCAGAAATAGGCTTGAAGATTGACGGTGGTATTTGCATGTAATTTAAAAACTTTGGAGATAACTTCCTAGAATTTTTCCCACTGCGAAAAAAAAAAACAAAACATTGATGAGATGATAAATTGGATTGTTCCCATTTGATTATACATTTTTTTAAATCAGAGAGTCAATTAATTCAAAATTATTTATTTCAGGAACATCAAAGCATAGCATGTATGCGTAAAATTATATATGACTTTGAAAAAATCCAAGAAATGTTTTTTGAAAAGAATACCGAGACAATTCAAACATGCGTTCATATAACACCCCCATCTTGTTCAATTATCCAGAAATTTATGCAAAGTTTTAGCTTGTTGCAATGCTACTATACTTAATCTGCCGAGTGTTCTCGAGCCTGGTTCGTATGTAGTCAAGAATTATTGCATGTTCATATCTTTTAAATTTCATATCTCATTGGTAGAAGCTTTTTTTAAAGGGTAATATTTTTTCCAAGACTTTTTCCGTTGACATGAAGTCTTCCTTTTTTTTCTTTTTGAGATAATAAAGTGTGCCAAAGATAAACATTTTCAGTAATCATTACTGTTATTGCACCAAATTTCACAAAATTTGAAGCGGTGACTTTCAACTGATCAAATTCAATCATTTATGATTGTTGTTTTACATGTGGTACTTGTGGAAGATCAACGACATTTCATGCAGAAGATTGCTGACGTTCCTGATCATCAACTTCAGATAAATCATTTTTCACCTGCAATTTAGTGCTATAACAATAAATTATATATGAGCAATATGAAAATATCAAGATCATAAACATTAAATTTCAGAAGCATAAAAGGAATCGAGAAAATGCCATTATCCTGATTGGTTAATAATGACCATCATCATTTTTTTTTTATCTGATGATCAGTTGCAGCCTACATCATCAACTGCTGATGACGGTTAGCATTGTGTACGAAATCTGCTACCGTTACTGTGGCTAATATTAAGAAATTGGACCATATACTGTAACATAATAAGCTACTAGCAAGTAAATCGTAAGACTAGCCATAAAACGTGAATTTTTTGCTAAATAATAATATGTTCAATCAAATAATACAACTGATGTCATTCAAGTTTTCTCGTATAACAAGCAGCTGACGATTTCTTACATGTCAAATGGGCCATGTTTCATCGTAAATAGAGATGTGTCATTTTAAAAATTCGACGAGAAAAACGGAAAGCAGAAATATTTCGTACAAAATTCAAATCGATTTCTTCACCTTCAGAATTAGATCTCTCCTGAGCATATATTTTTTTTAATTCGCGTACAGCTGCCCTCTTCCTCTTATTCTTTGCGCTTCGCTCACGCTCCATTCGTTCCAGTTGAGCATCATATGAATTTTCGCCATTTAAATGCCGATCTACCGCATGTTTTAACCTGTACCACGTGATTTAAATTGAAGATTAATGAGGAAATTTAAAACATACTTTCAGATAACATTTTAACAGAGATACAATATAATTACTCTGTGGATAACTCGACATCCATCTCTAAACACAATCTGAATTTGAAAAATTCCTGCCTATCAAAACTGTACGGCTATCTGGGATGGCATTTTTTTTCTGCACTATAGACTGCATGTATTCATTGAAAAGTACACTTTCTTTCTTCCAAGATCTCCTTCAAGTACTTTGAATAGAAGACAAACTCTTTACCCCCTTATTCTTCTTAAAATACCATGTCATCACTGAACAGACACTTTCAATTCTTGAATTACGTTTTGATTTTTACCTTTCCTGAGCAATTTTAATATTCTCTTGTAGAAGTCTGGACTGATGGACTCGAACAACGACACCAGTAGATACATGTTTGATTGTTACAGCATTTCTCGTCATATTCACCTTTTGTCCACCGGGACCCCATCCGGAAATAAATTTCTGGAAAATATCATCATGAAGATGTCTTTATTCAACTTTTTAAGGACGTAAGTGTAAATTCCCAGAAGATTAATACTTTCTTATATGCATCCTGAAAGCTTTACTGATACCATATTCTGCAAGTATGAATAGGTAAAATTACACAAATAACATATACAAACAATGGTGGAGCACACTTACCTGAACACAATCTTCGGGTCGAATTACAGGAAAAATATAATTTTTTAATCTTTGTTTTGCAGAATTGAACCGCACTGAATTTACGCGCAACTTAACTGCACAGCGGAAAAACATTGCCTGAATTGGAAAACCATCCTTTGAATATATTCTTAAAAACAAGAATCTCAAGTAACTGATATCGAATGTTATATTTGAAACAAAAAAACAAAACCGATGTAGAATGTTGCTACTGGAAAAGATCCTCTTAATTAATCATTCCCTTCGTTATTTGCGTCATTTAGACACCTAAGTTCTTCGAATTTTTTTATATGATCGAACTTCCTTTTGCTAATAATCACCAGAAAAAGAACATTTTGTAATATTTTCTTCTTGCAAAATGGAAAAAATGAAATCTCTCGATATACTCTTTAAATAGATCGTAGTTAACCACTACAAACTGCAGCAAAGGTTAATAATATTATATAATCAACATTACTAAATTATAACAAATGCGCACTGGAAGAGTTATTAGATTTTCTGTCAGATTTCCACAACATGCCAGAACTAAATGATCACTTAATACAACAATCTGATTTCAGAGTCTAGTATGACAATTTAATCATTTAGAAAAGTACTGTAAATGTCAACTTAGTTAAAGTTATCCAATCATTTGGCAAATCATCAAGTTTCAGAATCTACTAGACTTATCAGGTCATTCAGATCAACCGTCACATCTACTGATGGTGGTAACAAATCTCGCAATGGATATAAACAGGTATGGATTGGTCACCTAGAATTAGTTATAATATTAACTGCTAAATCACCCCGTTCAGTATAAGAAATGCTAAAAAAAACTGAAATAAAATATATAAAAAAAACTGAAATGCATACTCTAAATGGATGGTAGTTTTTGATAAACAGGATGACAATACACATGACAATACAAATTGACAAATTATTTTCATACAATCTGCTTGTATCAAACTTTACATATACAATAACTGTTAGATAAGAAAGATTATGTAAAAGTTAAGTTACGAAATTTCATGCATTTTAAACAATTCAAAAAAATACTTCAAAATTCGAAATTTGGCATGTATGGAAAATGAAAACAATCAAACTTATTGAAAAATGAACCGCGAAAAAAAAACAGTGATAACTCCGAAACGAATTGCTATCGCTAAATAGATGACTTCCATATGATATTATTTTCTATTATCCAGAAATGATTTAGCAATTTTTTAAATCGAAAGGATTGCTTCAAGTTGAGTATAATAATACAGAGCTGAGGTAAACGAAACAGCAATAGCAATATGAAAACAACGCACAACATCCGTGAATGTAGTGAACAAAGACACAGAGATCGTAAAATTATTAACATATTGTAAGGAATCTAAAAAGCAGTGGAGCAAAGTAGCATTCCTAAATTTTTCAGACATGATCTTTTTTTTGAGGATACATTTTTCATAATATGTAATAACTTCAACAATATCAAAAATTATTCGCATCCAAAAAGCGGATAACTGTCCATCACTATATCGAAAGAAGAGCATCACTATTTCGACTGGAATAAGCACCAATTATCACGACAAGAATAACGGGCTTTAGAAAACGAGTTTCAAAACATCCTGAAAATACACTTTTGGTAAAAATTTAGAACAAGTGGCAAAGTTCTGACATGAAAGTTTACATAAAAACTAACATATTCTCATAATTTCCATGACGGTTTGCATTAAAATAATGATCCCATTCATTTAGCACGAAAATATGTTGATTTTAAAAGCATACTCATTTCACAAGCTTCAATGAACAGACCTGAACACCACAACTATGGTCAGGAGACGAAGTTATCATTGGCAGCTACCCGCGACCCACCATTTACAGTCCTCACTGTTGCTTCAGCATTAACAACTTTTCGTTTATACTCTTTAACAATAGCAAGTTCTGCTCGATCTCTGATCTCTTCCAAACTGTAATCAACAAGAAGCCTTCCGTTTTCGAACACTGTTACTAGTATGTCCTGTAAAACTGTGCAAATGAGCAAAATAACAACCACTTCAATTTATTAATTCGCGGAAAGCATAGGAAGAAATTAGAAAACATGAAGAATGGAAGGGACTGGAGCTTACACTTGGTAGAGATCAACCTTTTTTCTCGAGTAAACGGAATATTGGCCCAAATCCTACCAACTTGATCCGATCTTTTGGAATTAAAAATTCAGCTTCATTGTCTAAAAAACTTAAAAAAGAAAATCCTCTTGTATAAAATAAGGAAGGGACTTCAGTCTCTAGTAAGATGGCTTCAGCATAAATTTATCGAAAGACGAATTCACGATGGAAAAGAAAAGATAAAGGATATCAATGAAAAAAAAAAAATCTCCATGCCTTAGAAGCATCCCCTTGTCCTCTTTCGATTGTAACAAAACTGCCATCCTCTCTCTTTTCCAGAGTTAATCGCCCTTGTTTTGACTGCTTTCCAGCATCTGTTGTAGGACTCTTCCAAACGTCTCGCTGAAAAAAAAAAAATTAATTTGATAATCATAATAATCATGGATGCTTTAGCGATATTTATAAAATTTTTTGACAAATAGGTGAGCAATACTTGATATTTAAGAAAACAAATATTACAAAATGCTATGCAAAGGGTAAAATAATGAATTGAATAAGTAACTTACACTTTCACCGTTGATAACAACATGCGAGCACTTGAACGCGCATTTCTGAGTGTCGCGATCTAATTTTTGTAATAAAGCTCCTCCTGTACCAAAAACGATATTGTCTGCACTCCACTTATTACAAGTCACAGCATCCAAGATCTGAATGAAGAAAATGCAAAAGCTAAAAATATATGTAAAACTCCATTAATGACTCGGCCTAAATTTATTAAAACTTGAAAAGTTAAAGAATGCATAAAATAACTTTTTAGAAATAAAGGAAAAGTATAGTTGAAACTTGAAACTTTACTTAATGTGTATCAAAAAAAATATAGAAATAAATTCAAGTTTACTCACTTTCCCAATGGATTCGTAACATATACCATCACCCTGCATTACTCTCAAATACGACGGTAAAAGTCGATAGCCTTTGGAATTAGTCACAATAGGAAACTTTTCTGCCAATAAATTCAACACCTAAAATAATATTAGAATATTTAAGAAGTTAAGGTGGTTATCAACAAAATGGACAAATAGATATTTCAAGACTGAAATGTTTCAACCATGATCACTATAACGCTAAACAAATGTTCAATCAGTCACAGTAGAGCGAAACAGTTACTGATTCCATCAATACCACTAAAAAAAGGAAACTTAAGACAGTAATCATTCAACAAGAATGTCTAAAACTTTATTCATAAACATCCAATGGGAAGATGATTAACGAACACAACATGATTCCTTATACAGAGGAAATTTTTAAAACTTATCTTTACGACCACTTGGCTGGGATCACCACTATCTGGTCTGATGACAATGCATCCTTTGTTGGCTCGATCGACCACATACTGGCGTAACTCAACACCCCAAATATTGGAAACAGCGTGAAAGACATCATAGGAATCACTAACTACGGACACGGAACCATCTGGGAACTGTTCCAAAATGTTCAAATATGCCGCTGATTCGCCTGATTTCTTCCATGTAGTAATTGTACTAAAAGTCAACATTCAATATTATCGTAAGGTCGATATTCTTTCAACATTTCAACTAACTTGGATGAGCTTGGAAACAACGCAGAAATGTGACAAGCAGACTAGAACAAAAGAAAAATAAATCGATGCAATTTTCGAAAAAAATACTGACCTGTGTTCAGCAGCCGGAATAGAAAAGCCAGCCATTTCTGCTGCATAATACCTGCAAAATCAGAAATTTCCAAAAAAAAAAGAGTTTTGGTTCACGATACTGTGCTTGAAAAATTCTCGAAAAAGCAACTTTTATATTTTGCTTTCACATAGAAATGTGAAAGCAGAATATGAAAATTACCATATAACTTACTTTTTGCATAACTGCAAGCCAGCTATGGTATCGGTACCATAGAAATTTACCAAATGTGCAGCTCCACCAATCGAAGCACTCTAAAACTCGGATTGTGAATAATTGACTAATTAATATAACAAAAGCAAAGCAATTATAAAAAAGTGACTCTATCAAAATCAAAATATTAGCAAAATAATTTGTTTTGATATTTACTGCAGCGCTAAATATTTGCTATTACTCTGACAAGGCAAAACCAAGAAGAAACTTGCAATGTCAGTTGTCAAATTATTCAACTTGATTTATTTGTTCATTTATCAAATCATTCTAATTGATTCATTTGTTTATTTATTAAAATTAAAATGCAAGTAATGCCCTAACAGTCAAAACTGTACAGGCAGCAAGTACTGTTTCAATCAAAGAACGGGAAAGGAATTTATCAAACACCTCAACCGAAGATGATCCACGATATCCGAAATCGTGAAGCTTAAAATGAATCCCATCTATGGAATCGGCCGTTTCATGCAAATATCGTGCTATAATGAGCTTTTGGGCTCTTGAATTCGTACAAACTGTCATCGGATACCATACTTGA